AAAGCATTTCTGGCGGTGACATCAGACAACGGACTAATTTTTAAAACATATGGAAAACTAAACAGCCCCAAAAAAGACAATCCAATTAAAAGTTGGGTAAAGCACATAACCATACACTTAACCAAAGAAAACATTCAGGTAGGCAACCAACACGAAGAAATGCTCATAATTATTAGCCACATCAAAACAACCATGAGCTAAAAATCAGCTCACCCCTTCATTAATAGCAATTCTCAAAAAAAAATATTGGTAAGGATGTGGAGACTAGCACCCCTCCTACACTGCCGGTGAGGCTGTAAAGTGGTGTAACCACTTGGAAAACGATATGACACTTCCTCAAATAGTTGGACATAGAAATATATGAGCCAGAAATCCCTCTGCTTGGGATGTATTCTAGAGAAATAAGAGCCATAACATCATGAGTAGCTACAGGCATACCCATGTTCATTTTGGCACTGTTCACAATTGCTAAAAGATGGAAACAACCTTAATATCCATCAAAGAAAGAAAGGATACATTTTGGGACCCTTATACAATGGAATGCTAGACATCATTAAAGATGGATGATGAATCTTTGGAACACCTCATAGCATGGATGAACGTGGAGGACATTACACTGAGTGAAATTAGCCAACCACAAAAGGCCAAATATTGTATGACATCACTATTAGTGAACAAAAGTTTTCATATTACAAGCACCAGTCTTTGATGGTCACTAGGGATGGAAGAGGAAGCAAGGGAATCACTGGCTAGAGGGTAGACAAGTGTTAACTTGGGTGATAGGGAAAGAGAGGTTGGCAAAAAATGGTGGAACCGGGAAGACACAGGGAAGTTTGCAAGAGTTATGACAACAGAGGCAAATACTGTTATACACAAAATCCTGAACCAGTAGTGATCTGCAAGTAGATACTTGGATAGACTTGAAGAGGTGGGAGAGGGAGAGTGGGGTATACCCACGGCTTGATAAGAGGTTTGACAAGGGATATGTGTATATGCGTATTTACTTTTGTTGCAAATATATTCATGAATGTGGTTGAGCACACAGGAGGCAAAATTATGAAAACTTCCTAGACATAACCAACCACCTTGAGGGACCAAGTTTCTGGGCATGGGCATCAGGACCATTGTCTCAGGGGACACCAAATCAATTGGCATGTATTGTTGATAAAAACAGTGTTCTACACCTTCATTTCATGTATAAGGAAGCTTGTGAGCAGCCATCAAAGGCACAACTATTGGTCTGTCCCTGTCCAGGGGAAAGAAGAGTAATGAAAATAGATACATAGAAACATTTAGTTAACCTGATGAATGAACCACACAAACCTCAGTGTCTATAACCAGAAGAACTAGATGGTACCTGGTTACCACTACCAATTGCTCTGAAGAGGATCATACTACCAACTGCTCTGAAGAGGATCATACCAGGAGGTCCAGGATGGAGTGGGAAAAAAATGTGGAACAAAACTCCAAATTATAAAAGAGACTAAAAACAAAAACCCACTGCCATCAAGTCAATTCTGACTTATAGCAATCCGATAGGACAGGATAGAGTTACCTCCTGTGGGTTTCCAAACTATTTATGGGAGTAGGAAGCCACATCTTTCTCCCACAGAGCTCCTAGGGGATTCAAACTGTTGGCCTTGTGGTTGCAGTTCAATGTGAATGACCCAAACTACAGCAATTGACCCAAAGACACAGTTCAGGGGTTTCGGAAAGGAGGAATGGAAATAGAACAAGGGAGAAAGTGGGATAAGTGATGGCACATTGAGAACATTGCAATGGATGGGTTGCATCAGAACAGTGTATAAATATTTTAAATATAGAACTATGATCACTTGTAAACATTGCCCTAATTCACGATAAAAAGTAAAATTATATGTGAAACTTCTGAGACATGACCGAACCTGAAAAGAGTGGACCTGGGGGCTCAGGACCAAAGTCTCGGGTCAATTGGTATAACAAGTCCACAACGACAATGTTCTTCATCCTGCTTTGGTGAATAGTAACTGGGATCGTAAAAGCTGTGAGCAGCCATCTAAGATGCAAACTCTTGGTTTCTCTCTGTCCAGGGGAAAGAACAGTGATGGAAATCAAAAGAATGATGGAAACAATTAGTCTACACAATTAGTCCACACAAACATCAATTTCCACAACTGTGAAACCGGAAGAACTAGACGGTTCTCCACTATGATAACCAACTGCTGTGAAAGGGATTACTTTAGAAGGCCCTGGATAGAGAGTGTGTGTTCATCATTAAAAGAGGCCAGGCTTACTGGTCTTATAGTGACTGTTGGAACCCCCATGTCTGTAACCTTTGGTTCATCCTACAGCTCTAGGACTGAATTCACCCTCATGGCTCACTTTTCAATCTATACGGAGAACAGTAATACTACTGATGTATGCACACCTCAGAATAATCCACCATTTACCCAAAGACAAAGCTCAGAAGGGTTAGGAAAGAGGAGGAATGGAAGCAGATACCCAGAGGGGGTGATATAATTGTTGATACTTTTACAGGACTGCAATGAATGAGAGGCAACAGAATGTGTTTGAATTGTTGACTGTAAAGCTGATGATATGCTCTTTAAGCCATCACCCAATTCACAATAAAACGTTAAAATAGAACAACAAAAGACAACTATGGATCTTAGGAAATTGACTAATTATTGCAGTGGACGTTTGCTTTTGCCTGTTATTTTCTCTGTGTATACTCAGTCCTACATTAATTCGAGTAGGTTTCTCTGATGCGGCATACTTCTATTGTGATCTTTTGAATGAGGCAGAAGTTCTTGCGTGGTATGAATAGTGTGATAGAAAGGGCAGAAGAGGGAAAACTTAAAAGAAATTTGATTGGAGAAAAGGAAACTTAGAATAAGAGAATTTAACTGGTTTGGGGAACCCATTGGAAGGTGTGAGTCAGTGTATAACAATTAGGAACCAAAAATAAGCAATGTAGAAAGCTCAATGGATGAGAACAAGGAAATCAAAAGTTTGAAAATGAGAAAACATTCCCCAGTGCTAGCTCCCTTCTTCAGTAGCCAAGGTGTATGGCCTGCACAGATGCTACCAGGGTGTCCTCCTAGCTTCTGGTGTGCTCTCCTGGGAGCTGAGTTGATTTTGATAACCAGGGGATGGATGATAGGGGAGCAGAAAGTATTAGAGTAAACATGGACATCTAAGGCAAGAGCTGTTTGCGATAAGGGCAGAGAGAAGAGATAACAGTGAATTTTATGAGAAACAAAAAGCTGAGGTGCTCAGACGATGGAGCATATTAAAGGTTCTTGGAGCCCTGCAGGCTCTGTGGGTTAGGTGTTGGGCTGCTAACAGCAAGGTCAGGAGTTTAAGCCCCGAAGCTGCTTCGAGGGAAAATGATGAGGCCATCTGCTCCTGTAAAGATCTGCAGTGCAGGAGTCCTAAGGAGCAGTTTCACTCCGCCCAGAAGGATCACTGTCAACTGGAACGGGTTTGATGGCAGTGGGTTTGGTTTATTGGGACTTGTAAAAATGTTTTTTTCTTAGAATGGGAGGCGTTAGCCATTGAAGGTTAATTGGTGAGGTTTTAAGTTTATATAGCTCTTGAGATTCTTAACGTAGTTGACAAAAATTGCAGTGATCTGGCTGCTTGAGTGTTGCAGAAAGCAAAATGAAGCCCCAATCCTTGTTTTTATGACCCGATGATATAATTGCAAAATCTTATCATAGGTTGTTCAGAGGTATGTACCAATATTTTTTATAAAATAGAGATAAAAAAGGGGATACAATTTATAAAATAGCTAATTTCTAGTTTTGTTTGCTGTGGCCTCTCTAAAAAGTATTAACTGACCACATAATATATCTTGTTTGTGACTATGTACATTTTAATAGCAAACACAAACATAAAAGTACGTGGTACACAAATAGGAACTGAAAGGAGCTGAATGCACGCTTGACTAATTGAGAAAGTCCAAATGGATGATAATCATAATAGGACATGATTTCTAGGTTTGTTCTATTTTTATCAGGGAAGGGCATATGGGGTACCACTGTGGGTATTAGTACATGGATTGGTGTTTGTTTACATCCTGTTGTCCTGACTCATGACTACCTTGTGTGAACCTGAAAGGAACGATGCATGGCCTCACGCCATCTCTCTGATCTTTGATGTATTTGAGCCTGTGGTGATTGAGGCTCTTGTGCCGGTCCGTCTCTGAGGATGTACCTGGTTCGTTTCTTTCTTATCTTCTGCATTGCCATAATATCCTTTATAAGGGATGGTGTTATTGATGAGATAGGTGTTCAAAGCAAGCAAGCAAGCAAGCAAGAGGAAAGCTTGCCTTCTTTGCTCCTAAGGAGATTGTGTTTCTTCTAAGACTGGTTTATTCTTCTGGCAGCCCATATTCTTCGCCAACACCTGAATTCAGATGCATCAATTTTCAGTCTTCTCATCGTCCAGTTTTTATGTGCATATGAAAACTCCAAAAAAAGCAAACTCATTGCCATCGAGTGGATTCTGATTCATAGTGACCTTATAGGACGGGGTGGAACTGCGCCCATAGGTTTCCAAGACTGACTCTGGATGAGAGTAGAAAACTGTGTCTTTCTACCTCAGAGAGGCTGGTGGTTTCAAACTGCTGGCCTGGCCTTGAGGTTAGCAGCTCAACTTGTAACCACTATACCACCAGGGCTTCTCACACGCCTATGACGAAATGGAAAAGACCATGGCTTGGGTCAGGCGCATTTTAGTCATCCAAGTGACATCTTTGCTTTTAAAACCTTTAAAGTGTAGACAATACCCACCTGATGAGCAAGCACACTTTGAACTTTCTAACTAAATGGATCCCCAACATAAATAAATAAGTCAGCTCTGGGTTATATTCTGGGCATTTGCTGAGTGGCACTACACATTTATGTTCTCAACCCTCAGTATGAGCATGTATGTTTTATACCTTTAACTCTGCAAATCTTAAGTATTAAGATAGTTAATCTGATCTCTAAAACATGATTTTATTTTTCTCTTTCCAGATCTAACCCCTGCCCTGGAACTACTGAATATCTTGTATTAGTGAAAAGAGTCATACTTCTACACAATGGAGTCTTAATTTAAAACCAGTGGTTCTCATTCACCTGTTGTAGTTCATGAAGCTTGAATCCAGAGAGGACAGGGACGTTTGCGATGACAATATGACTAATAGTAAAGGAAGATTTGTATCCAGTAAAGCAAGCAGCGGTCCAAGTAGCGGGGGAAGCTTTGTAGACTGGACTTTACATTTTAATACAATTCAGTCTGATAAGTTTTTAAACTTACTGTTGAGTATGGTTCCAGTCATTTACCAGAAAAACCAGGACGACCGGCACAAGAAAACTAATGGCTGGCCAGATGGGCTGTCAGCAGCAGCCCAGACTTACAGCGCCAGACCTGAGCAGCACCTGGAGTACCACAGCTTCCCGGGACAGGCATTTCACGGCAACAGTGGGCACGCACCTTCAAGCTGTGGCCCAAAGTATGATGACTATGCCAACTACAATTACTGTGATGGAAGGGAGGCTTCAGAAACAACCGCCATGCTGCAAAACGAGGAGAATTCTAATGATGGGGAGGAGGATGCCATCGTGGAAACAACCCATAAACTACCGAAGGAGTCCAGTGGGGTCATGGCCTTGCAAATACTCGTGCCGTTTTTGCTTGCTGGCTTTGGAACCGTTTCAGCGGGCATGGTTTTGGATATAGTACAGGTGAGTTGTCATTTATAGTTAAATGTGCTTGTCCTTTTTGAGATTCCATTTTGGTTAAAAATGCTCCACGTGGGTTATTTATCTCAAACGTTTACTTTGGATGTCCTGTCTTCCTTAGTCAAAGGAAGGGATGTGAGCTCTGGTAGCAAATCTGCTATTTCTAGGCATTTCTTTTCTCTTAAGAAGTTACAAAAGAGTAGTCTCCTTCTGACCAGGCAATAAGTCTTCTGTCCAGAGCCCAAACCAGGTGAATTGGTTAAAACTAACTAACTAACTAACACAACT